CGAGAAATGGCCTTTATCCGAAAACAGAAAAAAAAAAAAGGATTCGTTATCTGTTTTTTCATTTTGGTTTTGGAGACAAATAATTGTTTTTTCATTTTCTTATTTTTGGGTTTATTTTGAAAAACAAATGAATGAACGATACACGGATTTATCTTTCCTGGACACTGTTCAAACCCTTCTTACAGTTCGCTGTACGAGCCTTACAAGACTGCCCACAAGCCTATTACCCATGCTCCCACATGGCCATTTTACAGAAATATACAAAAACATGATTTAAAAAAATAATAATAATACTACAACTTCACAAATCTGACACGATGTACAGTAGTTTTATTCAAGGGATGCATGCTAATTGTATTGTAAGAGCGCTATGAACGGAATATGACTTAACGTGGAGTGCAAAGGGAGGGGAGACTCCGGGATGAAACTGAAATGAACTAACCATTTTAATATGTTGTTTTTGGCAAATATATCATTTTCAGAACAATAAAATGAAACATGGTGATATGAGAGACAATCTTCTTGAAGAAACCACGAAGTTCTGGTTGATTTGAGAACTATGGTCAGCCTTTCCCTCCCATGGTGTGATTCATTTCGCAGGCACCTTTTAACGATCGCATCTGTCCGAAAGCACCGAGCTGCTTTGAGTCACAGCAAAGGCCCTTCTGACAGTGCCCCTCCCTCCCCCTCCCACTCCCGCTGACCCTCGCGACCCTCTCCTCACCGCTGCCTATTCTCACCTTTCCAAAATCACCCTAACGACTCTGCAACCTCCGCTGACTTATCACCGCGTCACTCCTCGTTCCCTCTCCGAAAACCTTGAGGAAACCATTATCTGGGAGAGAAAAACCATTACGCGCAAACAGGTCATCCAAAACTACCGCCATGACAAGCTAAGTACCACAATCTCCCAACGTCTTTGTTCTTTAAAGAAACCCCTTTAAGACATCTCCCCCCCCCAAAGCAAACAGCGAAGTGACATCCAAGGAGGCGTTGCTGCGTCTCCACTCTGACCTGGTCTTCGTTGGGTTCGGACAGTTGACGCAAAGCATGTCTCCTCCGTGTTTTTTCGCCCCAGAAATGAAAACATTCTCGGGGCGGATGATGAGAAAAGCAGGTAGCGAAAGGTGGAAGGATGAGTAGCAGCGGCGGCGAAAGACTTAACCGACCAGACGACCATTTTCTGTCTGGTTTGGTCAGAGTCGGGGTCTGACGCAACTTTGACTTTTCAATATCCGAATTCCAAATGTTCCCTGAATGGTGTTTGTGGGAGCGGTGTGACAGGTTGGCACTCTTTGAACTGAACTTGTTTTACGGCAAAAGGAAAGACTATGTGAGTTTACTGTTAAATGGATCATTGCCTTGTCTGAGGGATTGGGAATTCTATCCGGGTCCGAACGCGTCTTCTTCTTGGCTACGGACCCAAAGAGAAGACAGGAAAGGCAGGCTCCGGTGTGTGTGTGTGTGTGTTTTGGGGCCAGTTCCATTAATCTCTCTGTCTAGACTTACTGTATTTATGCAATTTGCCTGTAAAGAGAGGACCTTTTCTTTAAAGATTCTATATTTTGTGAAACTGACTGTGTTATTTGTGTGTGAAACCTACCACTTCATGACATCACAAGGTGGAACAGAGCATTTTCAGCTTTGGAGATGTAGACAGACTAATGAAAAAGAGTTTCTCAAGCATGTGGGAATGAAACAAAACATAACTCCAGGTCTGTTTTTGAGGAGATGTTCAGTTTTCAAGTTAACAGTTACCTTTTACCTTGTACCTAGTGCCTCTGCTCAGTTTCATTTCTCTCCAGCGACTAGGTCAGGAATCAGAATACACTAGACGGTTCGCAAAAACCCCGGAAGTGCAAGTTCGGGCACCAGCCAATCAGCGAAGAGTGATACATTCTATGTTGGCAATGATTCCTGAGATCGAGGATTTAAAGCCAGAACAAAGAGAATGTTTGGTGAATTTTATCAAGGGGAAAGACGTTAATGCCCTTCTTCCTACAGGATTTGGGAAAAGCTTAATATACCAGTTAGACCCATTAGCGGCGCATCACATACATCATGACCAAATAGCAGTGATTGGTTAAGTAAAAAAAGTACCCACCTACCGTTGAGCGAGTGAATTCTAACACTATGAGGTTAGACGGTTTCCATGACATGAAACCGGCTGATTGAATCAGGCTAAGACATTGGCAATTCAAAGGTGAAATTATCCAACAGATTCTAGTGAAGGTGTTTGGAGTTTAGAAACACAGTGGAGAACTTCTTGTATTACCACATGACATCACAAAGTGGAACAGAGTGTTTTCTGTTTGAGAGAAGAACCTAAATTTGTGTGTTAACCCTCCTGCACTCCTCGGTACATTTTTATACATCTCAACTTTTCTTTTCTTTGGTTATATTGCATCAAATACCATGACAATTGGCCAGTTTGTGTATTTGTGATGCATTTTTGATTAATGTTTTCTTTCAAGATCACATTAATTGAATGTTGTATAATCATAATAATCACACCCGTCGTCCTTAGGTACATTTTTGTCCCATTGACTTCCATTGAAAATGCCTTTTTCACTGACATAATTTTGCCAGTATAGTTTTACTTTTTGATTTATTTTTCATTCTTTGGTGTTGAAAACCTTTAAATTTTTTAGTTTTAGTGTCTTTTAGAATTTTTGGATATTTTTCTTTTTATTGTGTATCTAGTTTGTATCGATAGAAAGACATTTGTACATACAATATAAGTCCACGATGAAGGACAGAGACAGATATTTGAGGTTAAAATGATATGGGTGTGTTCTAGAGGAGTCCCAGCCTCTGATAATCCCAACACAAACAAATAAAAATTACTTGAAAGATATAGATGCACATAATTTGAGACTTTTGCTGTCAAAAATGGCATTTACGCGGTTAAAATGTCAAAATATGATATAATATTTGATATTTATTTTAGGGCAGAAGTAAATGAAGACATCGATACAAAAAAGTTGGACAAAAATCTGTACTTCATAAAAATGTTGTGGTATTCTTTTCCAGGTTTTACATTTTTGTCACGACGGAGCACAGGTGTGATTATTTTAAAAAGGCGCACAAGAGTTAAACATGTGTGAATTAACCAAAACACAACTCCAGGTCTGTTTGATGAGGAAACAAGCATAAATAAAGTATAATATGAACCCTTTAAAGGCTTCCAAGAATACAATTAATAGAGTCATTTTACTGGGACCGACTAAATTCAACAATGGAACAAATTAGAATGAAGTTGTAGTCTAGGTAACATTATGGCACTATTTTGTTATTGTTAAAGCGCACGAGACAGATTTTCATGTTTTTCTAATTACTTCCTTTGGCTGGATAGTACCTGTGGTAAATATTTATACTTCCACATCAGTTAAGTGGCAGTTTGTGGAAAAGAAGTTGGAAGAAAAGTACAAAAAAATACAGGAAGCAGTGCTGAGTTCTAAAACAATTCCATTTTTGACCTCTACCTGTGTCATCAATATGGAAAATTCAAAAATGCAAGGACAGTTTACATCCAAGGAAGGCATTTTTCTGACAATTTAAACATTCATTTAAAGAGACACTATGTAACTTTTATGGATATGTCATTGAATGTTCCAGAGTATGACATTAAACAGCTCTACTTTATATTTATTCAATTACAGGTGGTTTTATAGCTCAAAAATACCTAGATAAACAGGCATTCTGACTGAGCGGGGTTGCCTCTCCACAGATCTGACCTGTAACTTGGTCTGGTTTGGTCTCCATGAAGATAGAAAGGTTTAATGCCAAACTGTGAAACCTTCCAATGCAATAGGCGAGTTTCAGCTGACGTCATTGTTATTAAAAGCCTGCGTTGCATGCTGGGAAATATTTTGGTCGGAGGCGAGAAACACGGTAGCGGTCAAACACAGAGCGTAACCTCGCGTATTTATCCCCAATAAGGGTACATTCCTGCTGCATTATCAGATGCACGGAAGAAGGAAAATGTCTTTTTCGTATTCTGACTGAAAAGAACCGCTAATGGTGAATTAAATGGCTTTCAAACATCCGCAGAGCAAACGTAGAAGATCCTAACAAACCGTGAACTCCAACAAGTTCAACAACACATCGAGACTCTTGGAGGTTTTCATCTTTTCTGCTGTGAATGGCCCAGGAGTTTCCACCAAGTCATTGTGGATATCACCGAAGTGAATATTTGTCCAGGTAGTTGGTGATTCTGACCAGAAATTTGGTTTGGTCCACCTTTTGTCGGGGTTGAAAAGGGTGATTTGTCGTCCGTCGATGCTTATGACCAATTTCTGGTCAAATGGTCTTGGGTCCTCTGCCGTTAGAGTGGATAAATAACCGGGATCAATACCCTTTACGTGCTTTCTTCCTCCGTCTGTCATGTTGAATTAGTGTTTCTTGCCACCGACCAAAATAATTCCCAGCATGCAACGCGCACTTTTGTCAACAATGAAACTCGCCTATAATGCCTTCATTGAGAAACACATTTGACGGAACCTTCCACCAGAAAAGTTGCACAATGCATCTTTAAATAAATAAAGATGTTGTCAGTGATTTGTATTTGTCTAATCATAACTGTTGTGCGATGTGGACAGGTTTTGGCCCTGGTTGCTAAGTTACAGTTATGGAGTTTTAATTATATGTGTAGGCCTATATGTGAGTTTACTGTTAAATGGATCGTTGCAGTTGACTGTGGGCTTGTGGTATCCAGGTCAGAGCGCGTCCTCTGGATCTGGACCAAAACAAAAGGAAAAGCTCCGGTGACTGTGCGTTTTGGGGCTCGTTGCATTTATCTCTCTGTCTAGACTCACTGTATTTATGCCGTGTGCCACAACTGGAGCTGAGGAAGTTCAATCAATGGCAACAAAAGTCCGGACCGTTTATAGAAAATGACAAGGTTTTCAAAAAGAAGCACGTATGGAGATGAGCTGACGTAACTCTCATGGAGTTTGTAGCGTTTTAAAAGTTTTTCTTGTTGTTCTTGTGTCTTGCAGGGAGCCACAATCAGACGAGATGACCACACAGGAGCCATACTCATCGCTCGGATCATGAGAGGAGGAGCAGCCGATAGAAGTGGTCAGTTTTTTAAATCAGCTGAAAATGCAAATGATTGTCTAAAGCAGTATGTTTAAAATGAGGTGGATAGTGGAACCCGCACCTTTTATGTGTATTATTTGAGGAAAAAGTATGAGAATAATGTGAAACAGTGACATGACATTTACTGAAAGCTTCATCATGTAACCTGCTTGTCTCCATGGAGACATTAATGCTCTGTGTGGAATGTTTCAGATCATGCCAATAAACGTATCTATCTTACATTTGTTTTTATAGCTAAAACATGTATTCTGACTGTCAGCAGGCCTGCCTCCCCATATGTCTAACCTATAACTGCTTGTCTTCATGGAGATAAATAAAATTAATGGAACATTCTTGGCAAAGCAACAGAAAAAAGCACTTGGTATCATTTGCCAACAAGATGACTTCTCGTGAGTTTTGTGAGTTTTCAAACTCTTGAATCCATGTTGTTAGTCTCCATCTGTGTTTGCTTGTGGTAAGTCAGAGACTGACCTCTTAGGGTGTGATCTTTGGTTCTGACACTTTCCTTGTGAGCTATCCCAGATGGATGTGAAAAGTTGCATAATGCACCTTTAAGATTGTAGTTTATTCTTAATTATCCCAACATGCAGCAGTTTGGAACAAAAGCTGAACCTGTGCAGCCTGGGACAGACTGTAGGTGTTGTTAAAGTGCAGCGTCTGCAGTCTGATTTACTGCTGCCTCGTACTGTAAACACAGAGCCTACATAAAACCCTGTGTTGTGCATACACACTTGTTCTTTGTGTCCAATCTGTTTCACAGTTACCCAGCGGCACATTTCCACATGTGTCCACAATAACATTTGGGTTCCTTTCCAGTGGTGGATTCCAGCATGACCATAAACACTAATCTGCTGTACTGTACAGGGCCCCGGGCCCTCAGGGCCACAGTAGCACACGCGACTGTGGCGTATGGATCCTGATAAGTGCTCTCAGACTCTGTCTGCTCTGTGTCTCAGGTCTGATCCATGTAGGAGACGAACTCAAGGAGGTCAATGGAATCCCAGTGGAGGACAAGAAGCCTGAGGAGATCATTCGTATTCTGGTGTGTGGGTCCAAGCTCCTCTCCTGTTCCACTCCCTTTGGCTCTATTCAAATGTGTCCTTTTAACTGCACTCAGCTTTGCATGCACACAGTAAAGAGTGGTATTTTCTGTAAAGGCTTCAGAGATTACAACTAATACAATGAGCTTAGTGTTACAGGCTAAAGTCAACAATGGAACAAACAAGAATGAACCTGTACTACACGAGTCTCCACACTTTTCTCACTGAGGGCCACATTTTCAAATTTATTTTCAGAGGAGGCCTATTGACGGTGGCCAATCCATCATTCAGAGGAGAGCATTTAACAAAACTGACAAAATTTGATATTATTCAGGAGACCTGAGGGACAGCAAAAATTGGTGTGAGGGCCATAGTTTGTCTATTTCATAACAGCACTATTTTTGCCGTTTTTAGTGTTGCCGTATTTAGTGTCCTGGTTTAAACCCTCAAATCTAATCATTTTGTTAGACTAATTTTATATCCATTGCAAGGTCTTAGATCTATTTGAAATGGCAATCCATGCAGAAGTTTATGTGTCTTATGAGGGTTTTAATGTCTGCTCTAAAATATTTCCAGTGCTCCTCCTCCTCCTCCTAACCCTGTTCTTTTCCTTTACCTCCAGGCTCAGTCCCAAGGAGCCATCACCTTTAAGGTCGTCCCTGGATCCAAGGACGAAGCTCCGGTCAAAGAGCCTAAGGTACACTCCCTTCAGATTATACACAGTCTACATAGTCTACTTAAAATCTATGCAAATGAATAGGCCCCATATGAAAACTAGTTCCAGCGTACATTGAGTAAGTGAAGTAAAGAGATTTGAGGTGTCCATTTAACGTTAAAGCAGCAAAGTTTCATCATAATAAAAAAAAAAAGGATGATAAGATGATAATAAACATATAGTACAACATAGTCTTGTTTAAATAAGCCATACTAAATCATTTACACAATTCCCCACTCTGATCCTTTAAGTCTTACATTTTGCCAAGTTCGATTTTTGTGCCATTTTTCTCTGTGATGAAAATGTGTTTAGTTTTGATTGATCGACTATGTAACTCCGATTTCTCTGTCTGTGGCCCGTTTTCTACAACGCTTAAACATATTGTATCCATCCATTATGAACAAGCAGAACTGTCACTCACGCCGCCTCCCACTGTGCTCCTCATGCTCTGTGTGTCCTCTCTCATCTGTCAGGAAGACACTCAGACTGGAGCCAATTCATGTTTTATGCTCTCGGGTCAAAGCCATTTTTCAGAACACAAAACACACACTTTGTTATTGGAAAGTCCAGTGAGTAAACGTAATACACAGTAGGGCCGCAAGATTAATCGCAATTTGAATGGACGTAATTAAGCACCATCGTTTTGTCTACAAACAATGAAATCTTCTGTCTTATTGTGCAAAAAAAAAAAAACACAAAAAAAACTGCTAACCCTGTCATTTTGATCTGTACAAACGAGGGTTGTCAAAAGGAAAAAAGAAAAAAAAATGGAATATCAGATACTCAAAACTAGTATCAAAACTGGATACTCGTTTGAGCAGGTACCATATTTTTCGGACTATAAGTCGCTCCAGAGTATAAAGCTACGTTTGCACTGAACCAATCTCTGTATCACCCTATCAGAAACGATTTGTGTCTGCAGGCCTTCATTATCCACACAGCTTTGAGCATATTTGTTTACGTTTTACAGAAATGAAACTTAAAACCACATGGCTCATTTGCATAAACAGAGCGCTCCAAAAAACTGCTCGTTATTGTGCGCTGATGCGGTTCAGCTTCTGTTGGACTAAAGAACACGACTCAGTGGAATATGAGTGTTCTTTCTGTGACAGAGGGGTGTTCTGCTGATGGTGAGTCTGTTCTGTGCTTCTGTCATGTAAAACTTTTCAGAGATTATACATCGGCAGGTCGTACACACAAACCGTGTATATGAATGGACATATATTCAAGCCTCTTAGTGTTTTACCGGTGAATTACTTCACGGCGCATAGAACTACATCAGTGTATCAGTGTTTTCAGGCGTCCACACGGTGCCGGATCAGATCTGTACTCAAATGAATTCGTGGGAGCTGGAGGCACCAGATCGTTCCATCTCTGGAGCAGTTTTCAATCAGATTAGTGTGAACGAACATTGCATCCACAAACAGAAATGACTCAAATATCTACTAGTGTGGATGGGGCTTAAGTCGCACCAGCCAAAAAATGTAAAATGGGGAAATTAATTTTATTTAAGGCAAGTTATAGTAATAGTACAATAGAATAATAAAGAACAACAGGCTGAATAGGCATTAATATGTTAACTTAACATATGAACAGTTCTTCAGATAAACTATAACATCAACAACAGAACAGAACAAGTTTACCAAACTCTCCATCTCACTCCAAATCACTAAATCCACTGAATCCATTGAATTCTTCATCCTTTGTGCCACATCTGAGTATCCATGCAACTTCGGTTGTCACTGAAGTCCAGGCTTTGTCGATCCATTCAATGACTTCCAGGAAAGTTGCACAGTGCATCCTCCTGGATACTGTGAAGCTGTGTTCTCCATTCCCGCTTTCCACCAGTCTCACACAAGTTTCTTGCTCATTCCAAACTTTTTCTGTTGCTCGATTACCGTTTTCTGCTGCGTATTTAACTACTTGCAGCAGAACAGCGGCTTTTTCTGCAGGAGACATGCGCAGAAAACTGATACACAAACCTAGAGCCTCTCACGGCTGTCAGTCTGAAAATGTTAATATATAAGTCGCAGGAAACACCCAAACCATGAAAAAAGTGCAACTTATAGTCTGAAATATGGTATTTACTAACAAAGTTATATTGACAGGACAGAAATCAATGACAGAAAGAGAATTTGTATTATCATTGTGGTATCAGTATCTGTATTGAGTACTGAATTACTGAGGTACTACTTCAAACATGTTCTGAAATGTGAATCTTGTATTAGTTTGTCAGTTCATATTTCCATCTTTTTGTCGATTCTTCTGGCCATGTTTAAAATATGAACTTTGAACAGAATCCTAAAATATATATCACAAATACAATCAAAATCAAGCAAGACTTGTGTGAAAAAACGCAATTAGATATTTTTCCCAATTCATTCAGGCCTTAAATCCATGTGTGGAGTTTGACAGCCCCATGACTCCCTTCCCTCTCCTCAGAACTGTCATAGGAGCGCTAGCTCATCCTGACCTTTACGATGTTGGACCAGAGTCAGAGCAGGTGTATTAGGCTGTGATCCGGGCCCTCAACGGGGAGCCATTTCAGAGACAGGTCCACTATTTCTGTCCAAATGAATGAGCTGTTTGAACCTCAGGAAAAATGCAAGGATTGGAAAAACTGGACCTGCTTCGTCGAAAGTGTTTACAGAGCCAATATTACACTGTTTTCTATCTATGTTTTAATGTTTCCTCATCATAAACAGACCTGGAGTTGTGTTTTGTTTCATTTACACATGTTTAACACACAAATCTTGCGTATTTAGGCTGAGTTCTTTTCTCAAACTGAAAACACTCTGTTCCACCTTGTGATGTCATGTGGTGAGATAGGAAGTTTTTTAAGATAACATTTTATAATAAGGCATACCATTATTACACATTATTTGTAAATGTTTATTAACCATTAACTCATAATTTACCAAAATACACCTAAATCAAGTGTTTAATAATCATTTAGGTAACACTTTAGATTAGGGAGCACATAATAATAACTAGTTAATAGTAAAATGCATAATAAGTACTTCATTACATCTTTGTTAGTATTTATAAATTATTTTCAATGCATTTTTATCTAAGGCTGTATTTTGCTAGCCTGATTCATCGCAGCATTCGTTTGCTCGATGGTAGGCGGGTACTTTTTATATTTAACAAATCGCTGCTGTTTGGTTGTGACATACATAATGCACCAGAACGCTCAGTGGTGTCCAAGTAATTACCGGCACAACAGCAAACAAATCAGAGAGTGAACATGTCTGTCATTGACGTTTCTGCAAGATGAACTTGTGAATTAAAGGTGCAATAAAAAATGTGAAGTTTGTATTTGAGGAAGTCCAGAGGAGGATAGTGTATGCAGTCTGTTATTGCAACTCGGGTTGGTTCATCTCTTCACTGATTGGCCAGTGCGCGATCTACAACATCCGGTGTTCTTGTAAACCGTCTAGTGTATTCTTATCCCTGATGTAGTCGCTGAAGAGAAATGAAATTGAGCAGAGACTCTAGGTGGTGCCAGCCTGGCTAGTATTTTGTGAGTATTAGACGCACTCTTAAGCTTCTAACCTTATCAAAAAATGACCGCGCGCCACAATCCAGAGCGAATACGCAAATCCACTCAGGTGTCCCAGCACGACTTCAGTAAACTACAAAGCCGCACCACCCACAGAACACACAAACACACACAGAACAGACAGCGACTGCACAGAGAAACACACCCACAGACACACTCATCACTCCACACCGACGAGGAACGGAACGGAGGAACGAACCAAAAAAGCGAGTGCAATGTGCCACTTCTAGACACAACTGAACAACTGAGTCACTGCGAACACGCCGACAATCCGTTGGTCCCAGACACACCCTCCCTACACGCCACAACTGAACAAAGCCCAGAGTCACCGTGAACGCCACAAACAAACAAAACCACTCACCCATCACACTGTTGGGTTTCCTTTAAAGTCCGGTGTGGTTTATTTGTGAAAAAAGTCTGAAAATAGACCATTTATTGACAGTGTGTCTTATAATCCAGAGCGACTAATAACCCGGAAAATACAGTACTAACCCATTAACTATTTTCTTCCCATTGAAGTAGTGGAGATCACAATAGATGTTTTGTGCATACACTGAAATACACTAAAATCTTAATAAGCATTAAGCATTTTGTAAATTCTGATCGAATACCAACTAATAGCTAAATAACTGCTAATTACCCTACCAATTGCCTCTTCGTTAGCTATTAATATGTGTCATATATGTCCCTAAACTAAAGTGTTACCAAAATTTACAAACATGGACAAACCAAAATAGTATTACTAATTAATAAAGTGTTCATAAATGTTTAATTTGGAACATCTACAAACAACTTACAAGTGTTTATTAATCATTAACTACTCATGTACTAACAATGACATTCTTGTAATTTTTAGTAAATTATTAGTTAATGGTTAATAAACATTTAAAACTATGTACACACCTTAACTCACACCTTCACTAGAATCATTTGGATCATTTCAGCCCTGGAATTTCAAATCTCCAAAGGTAAACGAAGCTGTTAACTTGAATACTACCACTTCATGACATCACAAGGTGGAACAGAGCATTTTGAGCTTTGGAGATGTAGACAGACTAATAATAAAGAGTTACTCAAACGTATGAATGAAATAAAACACAACTCCAGCTTTGTTTTTGATGATCTAACCGCATTTTTACATGACCACAATCTCACCTGAATCCATTTTGTGTAACATGAGACTTTAAGTAGAATTTTAGACTTCGCTGCCTTCACCTCCAGAGCAGGACTGTGTGATATGTCTATTTTAGGGAGATGGTTATATGGTGAATGGGCTCTTCTCCGTGTAATGAAGCTCCATGCCCAAACACAGACACTTTTCCCCATCCTCTCCTGCCAACGGAGCTCAGCAGTCTGGCCCGCTCTGAAGTCTGCCCCGGTTCCTGGACTACTTTTCCCCATTCAGTTTTCCTGTAGACCTCATGAAACGACAGAGGCTAACAAGCTGGTAATGTCCATAAAGTGGTTGTTTTCGGTCCAAAAAACACACTCAAATCCACACTTCAAACAGGTTCTCTTTGGTCGTCCAATATTATTTCCAAAAGACCAGTGTGTTGTTTACATATACCTGGACATGTTCTTCAGAAGGGTGGTGCATTTTGAGAAGTTTCAGAAGCCGATTTTATCTAATTTTGGGAGGTTGTGGTCATTATTATTATTTATTTTCGGAAAGTCTATGAGAAAAAGTAATGGAAAATTGGGTATTACTAATTTTACATCCACAGTGATCAGATCTAATTTGTAATTCAGTTCAAATAAAAACTTTAGTTTGTTTCATATGACCCCATAGTCTAAAATGAGAAATTTAAAACGTTAATCCACTTTACAAAACATTGCAACATTGTCATAGTAATTACCAATTAAAAATAAAACATATCTTATAATTAGCCACGTTTACATGATGTTTTTTAATTCTGAAATAATTGTTCTGAATTAAAATATTGTCCTTCGAGTTTACATGGAAATAATTCCAAATTGAGGTTTACATGGAAAACACGTTATTAAATCTCCTTTATTTAATTCTGCTCAGCGTCTGGGGATGGGGAAGGGTTCTGATTGGACAGAGACGCCAACGTATTTATGTCAACCGGAAGAAAATGCACACTTCAGCTGCTACCGGCTTTTTTGTCGTCTTAGTTTGTCGTTTGACAGACACAAACACGATCCAAACTTTTTTGCGCAGTGTTTTCGATGATAATTGTGCAGCAGCTGGAGAATTCTCTCATCACGCTTTACGTCTGTCAGCTGAGAAGAAGGGAAGAGTGTTGGAGAAGGGGGGAAGAAGACAAACTGAGTGTGAGGCTGCTCTACCTCAGCCCACTCCCACATCCCGCTCACAAATCCAAACAGACGTGGATGAACCAGATTGTCCGGGTCACGTCAGAATGGCGACCCAACGAGCATGCACTGAACCATATTTATTTTCGGAAAGTCTATGAGAAAAATGAATGGAAAATTGGGTAATACTAATTTTACATCCATAGTGATCAGATCTAATTTTGTAATCCAGTTCAAATAAAAACTTTAGTTTGTTTCATATGACCCCATAATTTAAAACATTAATCCACCTTACAAAATGTTGCACTTTGTCATAGTAATTACCAATTAAAAATAAAACATATCTTTAAATTAGCCACGTTTACATGATGTTTTTTAATTCTGAAATAATTGTTCTGAATTAAAATATTGTCCTTCGAGTTTCCATGTTAATAATAATTCCAAATTGAGCTTTACATGGAAAACACATTAAATCACCTTTATTTAATTCTGCTCAGCGTCTGGGGATGGGGAAGGGTTCTGATTGGACAGAGACGCCAACGTATTCACGTCAACCGGAAGTAAACGCACACTTCAGCTGCTCCCGGCTTTTTTGTCGTCTTAGTTTGTCATTTGACAGACACAAACATGATCCGAACTTTTCCCGCAGTGGTTTCGATGATAATTGTGCAGCAGCTGGAGAATTCTCTCATCACACTTTACGTCTGTCAGCTGAAGAGGAGAAGGGAAGAGTGTTGGAGAAGGGGGGAAGAAGACAAAGTGAGTGTGAGGCTGCTCTACCTCAGCCCACTCCCACATCCCGCTCACAAATCCAAAGAGACGTGGATGAAAGTCTGAAGCCGGATTGTCTGGATCACATCAGAAGGGCGACCCAACGAGCATGCACTGAACCACTGACATTATTTTGAAGAAGAATAAACATTTACGTGATCGAGGAATAAATTTATTTGGCTTTAAAATCGGAATAAAGCACCCACTTACTTCGGAATTAAGTTTAAATCCGTATAATCATTTTCATTACGAATTGTTGTTTGTTTCATTACAATGTGTTTACATGGTCTTTTTAAAGCAGAACAATTTTTATTCATTATTATTATTCATTTTTATTTATTTATTTGGAATTAAAGCTCTCCTGTAAACATGGCAGTTGTTAAACTATGCAGCGTTTGGGGGGATATGTCACTGCGCTGCCTGGAACGTTTCACAGTATGACCTTATTACAGGTGGTTTTATAGCTCAAAATAGGTACAAATGCATTTTGACTGTGAGCAGGGTCGCCTCTCCACGGATCTGGCCTGTAACTTGGTCTGGTTTGGTCTCCATGATGATAGAAATGTTTAATACCATACTGTGAAACACTCCAGATAAATAACATCTCAGTGAAGAAAACCATTTGACCGATCCTCTACCACAAAAGTTACACAATGCAGCTTTAAAGTCCTCAAATTGTCACTTATAATGAGGAAGCTGTTATTCCGGTGATTAGTTTTGTGTGTGGCTGTAATTCAACAGTTCTATATACAGAGAGAGGAGGTGGTGGTGCTTGGAAGGTGGCGACAGACCTTGTAGCCGAAGAGCAGACGAATGACTCAGTCCCACTTGGCAAACCCGCCGATGTTCCAACTTCTGATTGCACTGACCTTTGTAGACTAATCCCCCCGAGGAGACGTCACAGCACGCTCCACCGCCTCCCCTCCTCTGTTCTCCACCTCTCCACCTCTCTACCTCTCTGTCTCTGCGCAGGTCTTCATGAAGGCCCTCTTTGACTACAACCCGCTGGACGACAAAGCCATCCCATGTAAAGAGGCGGGCCTGGCGTTCAAGAAAGGCGCCATTCTGCACATCGTGAGCCAAGACGACCCGACCTGGTGGCAGGCCAAGCACCAGGGCGAAGCGAACCCCCGCGCCGGCCTCATCCCCTCCAAACAGTTCCAGGAGAGGTAAGACACGAGTCCCAAAACACTCCTTCTGTGCGCCAAAAGGACTACAACAATCCTGGGTTACAATCCTGCTACTGTTTTAAAGGTCCTCAAAAGTGACTCTTTAATTGAGCTTTAAGTACTTCTGCCCATTTTGTGAACAGTCGTGACATTTTTAACACCCCTTTGTCTCCGCTGTGTTGGTTTCTTCCTGTTGTGATGATATTTCAGTCTATTTATGCTCACGTAGCTCAAACTTCAGAGATGTGTGACTAAAGAAATCGCTGCTTGTATCAAGATTAATTCATAATCCAGTTTAGATAATAATTCAAATGTAGTTTTTAGATGTAAAACGTGTGTTAATATGATATTTACAATGATTCATGGGCCTATGGTCTCAATATTTTGTGTTTACAATGTTAGAATGTTGATCAAAGACTTACTGTATCTGGAGTTGTTTTGTTTCATACACATATTTAACCTTCTAAGACTCGAACTCTTGCATGGCTTTACTGATTTATCTTGTACTGGGCTGATTGGGACCTGATGAGAGCAAAAACAAAGAATTATATTTCTATTATCTTTATATTTAAATGATTATATAAAACTTTAATTTTATGTTTTAATCATTTTGATGGAACACAATAAAGTCACAATTGAATAATGATTTGCAAAAACGATTTACCGTATTTTCCGGGCTATTAGACACGCTCTTAAGCCTCTAACCTCATCAAAAAATGGCCACGCGCCACAATCCAGAGCGCCCCATACACGAAACCATTCAGGTGTCCCAGCACGACTTCAGTAAACTACAAAGCCGCACCACCCACAGAACACACAAACACACACGGAGCAGACAGCGACTGCACAGAGAAACACACCCACAGACACACTCATCACTCCACGCCGACGAGGAACAAACCGAAAAAGCGAGTGCAATGTGCCACTTCTAGACACAACTGAACAACTGAGTCACTGCGAACACGCCGACAATCCGTTGGTCCCAGACACACCCTCCCTACACGCCACAACTGAACAAAGCCCAGAGTCACCGTGAACGAACAAACAAACAAAACCACTCACCCATCACACTGTTGTGTTTCCTTTAAAGTCCCGTGTGGTTTATTTGTGAAAAAAGTTCAAAAATAGACCATTTAATGACAGTGCGTCTTATAATCCAGAGTGACAAATAGCCCGGAAAAGTACGGTAAGTTCCTGAACAATCTAAAATATGTTGGACATATTTGTCCTCAGTATGTAGACTCCAGGTCCTCGGAGGCTACGTCATCCTTTATTATTAGTCTGCCTACATCTCCAAAGCTCAAAATGCTTTGTTGCACCTTGTGATGTCATGCAGTGGTATTTTTCAAGATAACAAATGCCTTTTACCTGGAATCATAGAAGTGTTTCTAGTGAAGGTGTATAGACATTTTAAAACACAGTGGAGCACTTCCTGTATTACCACATGACATCACAAGGTGGACCAGAGGTTTCAATTTCAGAGAAGAGCCTAAATACACAGGGTCTGAGTGTGAATGAAACAAAACATAAATCTGGGTTTGTATGAGATGAGGAAACATCTTTACAACCAGTGTTGGGAAGGTGACTTTTAAAATGTAATCCCCTACAGATTACAGATTACATACCCCAAAATGTAGTTTGTAACATAATCCATTCAATTACTTAAAGTGAGTAATGTAATCTGAATACTTTGGATTACTTGATATTGTCATGCTTTTTAAAACTACATGTACCAATCACATCCTGAAAATTTTAGTTTGTTCTCTTCAAATTGTCTGTTGAGCCCAAGTCTCCATGAACAGGTAAATGTTTGCTGTAAAGTAACAAAGACTAGAAAATCTGAACATAAGATGTTTTGTCTGCTTAAAGACAATAAAAATCCCAGTCTTTACTTAACCATATTAAAAAAATAAAAAATAAAAATAGAGAAATCCCCTAGTCCTGGTTTTAATCCTGATTTAGTCCTGGTTTTAGTCTGGTTCTAGTCCTTGGTTTTACTTCTGGTTTTACTTCTGGTTTTAGTCCTGATTTAGTCCTGTTTAGTTCTGGTTCTAGTCCTGGTTTAGCCCAAAATGTGAAAGCAGGAAAATACCATCCTGTAATCCATTTATTTCAACAAAGTAACTGTAATCCAATTACCACTCACTGTAATCTGTTACTCCCCAACACTGTTTACAACATAGTTTAGGAAATGGCGTAATATGAGCCGTTTAAATGCACTGTATGAGTTTTTTTCTACAGATCTTTCTACATTTAATTACATAGCGTTTTATTGTCCGATAATGAGGAAGTGTGTGTTAGCATGCTAGTTGTTGTTTGATTTAGCCTGATCGCAAAACTCCAAAAGCTCTGGTCTCCAAAAGTTGTAAAAAGCTCTTTAAAACTCAACGAGGTGGATCATTGGGTTTAGAAAAACGCTCAGAACGCATGCGTAAGTGTAGGTAGAATAATTTTGGGCCACTGCAAATGTTTTTAGGTCAGTAAAAATCATCTACAGCGTCTTTAACCTATAGAAGCGAGCAAATTCCAACTCCTCAACCAAGAAGTATGGACAGGATTAGGAATAACGACATCAGAGGGAAAGTCCATTTTGGAGGTTGCAGAAACTGTGTAAATGGTTTGGACATGTGCAGAGGAGGAGTGAGTCAAGGAAAAACCATGTTGAACTTTAAACGGGCAGACGTGAAGACGACTCCAGACCAAGACCGAAGAGGAGATTTATGGATATTGCAAAGTCGGACATGAAGTTTACAAATGATACAGAAGATGGAAGATGGACGCTGGTGGTATGCTCTGGCCTCGCAGATGATAATATATTTTCGAGTTTCACTTGTATTGGCTCTTTTCATGGAGCTGCCTGGCTAGTTGTAGTTCTTTTTGAAAGTGTAGTTTTACCACTTCATTCATTCTCTGAGGAATTAGATGGGCCATGCTAAAATAAATCAACATTTAAAGGTGCTGTTACGACCAAAAATACATCAGAACATATTTAGAAATGGACACGGAAGACAAAGTTAAGGATTGCATATTCTTGTATTATTATTTTTTTCTTTTGTATTTTGGACAAAAAGAAAAAAAAAGACCCCAAACCCGTGCCAGGTGTCACCAGGTCATGAGCTGTTTGGTACTGGGCCACAAAAGCGTGAACCCCCCCTTCGCCATGCATCTCAACCAGGACAAAACCAGGTCGAAACCAGTTCGAAACCAGGACTAAATCAGGACTAAACCAGAACTAAACCAGGTGGACACCGGGACTAAACCAGGTGGACACCGGGACTAAACCAGGACTAAACCAGGTGGACACTGGGACTAAACCAGGATTAAACCAGGTGGACACCAGGACTAAACCAGGATTAAACCAGGTGGACACCAGGACTAAACCAGGATTAAACCAGGTGGACACCGGGACTAAACCAGGTCGACACCGGGACTAAACCAGGATTAAACCAGGTGGACACCGGGACTAAACCAGGATTAAACCAGGTGGACACCGGGATTAAACCAGGTGGACACCGGGACTAAACCAGGTGGACACCGGGACTAAACCAGGATTAAACCAGGTGGACACCGGGACTAAACCAGGTCGACACCGGGACTAAACCAGGATTAAACCAGGTGGACACCGGGACTAAACCAGGATTAAACCAGGTGGACACCGGGACTAAACCAGGTCGACACCGGGACTAAACCAGGTCTAAACCAGGTCGACACCACGATTAAACCAGGATTAAACCAGGTCGACACCAGGACAAAACCAGGTCTAAACCGGGACTAACGGAGCGCCAGGTTCTCACAACTTCAAGGCTCCTCACGGAAATGCAGAGCAAACAAAAGGAAACATTAAACATTCAAAAATAAGAGTAACTTGCAAAAACAGACCTGGGAAAAATAATACAAAAAAATAGACAATAAAAAATATACAGGGGAAAACAAAAAGGTGCCCAAACGTAACAGGTGCACTGTGTGATTTTTAGGTTGGCATCTGTAATCCTGCTTGTTTTCATGAATATGCCATAGCCCCAGTGTTGGGAAGGTGACTTTTAAAATGTAATCCCCTACAGATTACAGATTACATACCCCAAAATGTAGTTTGTAATGTAATCCATTAAATTACTTAAAATGAGTAACGTAATCTGAATATTTTGGATTACTTGATATTGTCAGGCTTTTTTAAAAAACTACATGAATGTAGCAACCACATCCTGAAAGTTCTTGTTTGTTCTCTTCAAATTGTCTGTTGAGCCCAAGTCTCCACGAACAGACAGAAGCAAAAACGAAGATGTTTTTTCTGCTAAAAGACACAAAAAGCCCAGTCTGTCCTTAACCAGATTAAAAATATTATTGATAGAGAAATAATTTTTACATGAGATCACGGCTGCCTTAAATTATGTTCACTCTACTGTTAGTGTCATATTGTTTAGACCTGGTTTAGACCTAGTTTAGACCTGGTTTAGTCCTGGTTTTAGTCCTGGTTTTAGTCCTGGTTTAGTCCTGGTTTAGTCCTGGTTTTAGTCCTGGTTTAGACCTGGTTTAAACCTGGTTTAGTCCTGGTTTAGACCTGGTTTAGTCCTGGTTTAGTCCTGGTTTAGTCCTGGTTTAGTCCTGGTTTAGTCCTGGTTTAGTCCTGGTTTAGTCCTGGTTTAGTCCTGGTTTAGACCTGGTTTTAGTCCTGGTTTAGTCCTGGTTTAGTCCTGGTTTAGACCTGGTTTTAGTCCTGGTTTAGACCTGGTTTCGACCTGGTTTTAGTCCTGGTTTTAGTCCTGGTTTAGCCCAAAATGTGAAAACAGGAACATACTGTTGTGTAATTAATTTATTTCAACAAAGTAACTGTAATCCAATTACCACTCATTGAAACAGTAACTGTAACTGAATACAGTTACTCATAATTTGTACTCTGATTACGTAACGCCGGTACATGTAATCTGTTACTCCCCAACACTGCATAGCTGTGCTTGGAATGTTCCACAGTGTGACATTAAACAGCTCTGCTTTACATTTCTTAAATTACAGGTGGTTTTAGAGCTCAAAAATCCCTAGAAAAACAGATATTCTGACTGTGAGTGGGGTTACCGCTCCACAGATCTGACCTGTAACTTGGTCTGGTTTGGTCTACATTAAGAAAAAAGGTGCCAAACTGTGAAACATTCGAGACAAAGCAATAACATCTCCATGGCGACAAGCACTTGACGGACCCTTCACCAGAAAAGTTACATATTTCATATTTAAATATCAGACAGATGACCTGAAGTTATGAATAGATCACAGACAGAATGTGACGACTTTTACTACGATTTAAATACTGTGTAAATACACAGGAGGAAAATTCTATTTAGATAAGTAGATATGTTTGTCTTGAAACTAATGCTAACTGAAATTAATTTAGTCAGTCAAGAATCTTTTTGTTGACTACTAACAGCTCTGTACTTCCATCCACAGTGAAATTCTGAGTATGAAAATGACTTGAACCCATCATTGCCAAGAAGTAGTGTGATAATTGATATCATAGCGTGCAGTCTCCTCATTGGCAGTCAATAATCACTTTTATTGTACAAACATACTCATCTTTTCCCATATCTGCTCATGTCTCTGCGTTCTCTCCTCTGTGTTTATGACTCCCAGCGCAGCCCTAAACTCTGATGGCTTTATTGTGTCTGTTGTGCAGGAGGTTCGCAGTGAGGCAGCCCGTGTCCACGCTCCCGTCCACTCTGCGCAGCTCCACCCGCCGACCATGTAAGCACACTCTCTCTGACTCACAAAGCGCACTCTCACGCTTAGCTGTGGTTGTCTCTGCTCTCACTCTTGTGGATAAATCACGTTGGACGCTTGACTGTGGATGTTTTGATAAATGACGGTCTCTTTCTCACGAGGCCGCGCTCATTTGTAGCGTGTTAGCCGTCACACCTGTCAGCAGAAGAGCCTGTGTCTGGGGCTGTTTCCTTCATGCTCCATGTTTCATTCTGTCTCTGTCGCCACGTTCTGCTGGCTCCGCCCTCCTGTCTCACCATATGTCCAGTGTGCAACAAGTACAGGAGGGCAACGTTGCATATTAACCCTCTCAGGCTCAAATAAAATTTTAGTATCAGGAAAAAATCTGATATTTGGGGAAAATGATCATATGGGGTAGTAATATACAATCCTGACTTTTTTTTTTTTGAGAGACCTTCACATCCAGTGCGTTCTGGGGATGTTGCAAATTTCAACATTTACCCAGTGTGGTAAATTAACACTGAAGACTGAAAATGATATGAACTCTAACTTTATGTGTTTACCACTTTTCATAACAATAAAACATAAAGCAGAGTGTAACAGCTTTACAGCGGCAGAACAACATCACTTTTTTGTGTGGTACTCCAAGAAACTATTTTTATCCTTTGTAAACAACAAAAGTACTTTGAGTGTAGCCATTCTTGCACAGTCTGCATCGTCCATGTTTATCAGCATGGATAGGAAAAAAGGCTCCTGAGTAAAAAAAAGCTTATAAAATATGGATTTGGAGTAAGTAGGTAATTGGCATTTAGCTGTTGCAAATCTGCAACTCCTGCCTGGAGAGGGTTAAAACTGAGATTTTTGAAACTATCAAGAAAGATTGATACTAGGGATGTAACGATATCCAAGTCCCACGATATGATATTGTCACGGTATGAGCCTCGCTGTACAGTATTTATTGCGATATCGTGGGAAAGCTCAGAATATGGTGTGGAGGCTCACGATTAGAGATGTAACAATATCCAAATCTCGCAGCACTATATTTTCTTTCTTTTTTTTTTTTTTTTTTTTTAATTGGTTTTAAGTAATATTTCAAAACATACAAAAACAATATAAAATCAAAAACAATGTAAAAACAGTCTGGAGTTACAGGTTCTTATTTAAACATGCATTTGGTATTGACATTTTTATGTACTATGTTGTTTTACTGGTGTCATTGATTAATACATTCCATTTATCCCTTTGCTCATCGTATTTATACCCTTTAAGTTTAAGATAATGTTATTTTTTCCATCACTGAAATATTCCCCACAATCCTGATCCAGTCTTGTTGTGCAGGTGGATCTGGTTGTAACCAATTCTTTGTAATTGCCTTTTTAGATGCAGCTAAAACAGTACTATATTTACATGATATACATCTCACATACGATATTTATTGCAATATTTTGTGGAGTTAACAAAAACTCTTAAAATGTCTTGACAAGACATAATCCAAAGAACTGTTATTTCTTCATGTAGTCTACACTGTGGATGGAGCAAAGGATCATGGTCTATGTAGTTCCCTCTGTTTTTTTTCTGTTTTTTTTAGCTATTGCTGCACCATAACTCTTCATTTAAGCAAAGAGACTTCGATTTATTGTGAGGGTCCACGATATTATTGTGGGAACGTTGGCGATACGATATCATGATATTTCAGTTATTGTCACGTCCCTAATTGATACGTGTGTCACTCTGAATTGAGTTCTACACATTATCAATCTGGAACAGCTCTCACTCATAACGAACAGAAAATGCAGAGTGTCATGGCAAATATTTGATTTGATTGGCAGAAGCATCACGACAGCGTCACAAGCCAAAAAGTCAAACTTGTTGCATCCACTTGAAAAAAGCACAAACATTTTCCCTGTCCACAAATGCACAAAGCTCTTACCTTCTGCATGTTTTTTACAAACTCAGGGTCTGTTTAGATGAGAACACTTTTGGGTAAAAATGTCAAAATATTTTATCAGAAGTGACTTTTGTTTAGATGGCTGACAGCGTTTTTGGGACTTAAAAACACAAAAATCTGAAACCGCCCTTCAGAGTGGAAAAGTTGAATACGCTTCGCTGTAGCGTTTCCATCTACACTGCCCAAGACGCAAAACTCTGGTCAGATCTTCTCAGAAAACAACATGTCTGATCATTTCCATGTGTTGGACCTTCAAGCTGCTCTAATAAACTTACAGGAGGCTCCCAACAAATGTACAGAATATGCATAGGTACTATTAGTGAACAGAGAAGGATTTGCAATCACCTCTGTCAAATTCTGGATGCACCACGTCATCGCAGGCGAGTCAGACGGCATGCATACCCAGCTGAATTCCACACACTTCACCGTACGCAAGCAGATTTCCACCCAAAAACACTTGTCTTAAACGCGGAACAAAAAGGGAAGACAGAAGGCCACTTTTGCGTCTTCTGTTCAGACCGTCACCATATAAACATCGCCTAAATAGTTTGTATTGACGCAAAAATAGGCTGAAATTCACCTGTCTGTGTCGCCATGTTTATTTTGGCTCATTTTGAGTCTTCGCCTTTTGCTTCTACTCAATGCTGCGACGTGATTGGTCCTTCCACCCAATTAAACATACAGCGGGAGATGCATTTTTGAGAACTCAGAAATATCATGAGAAACATTCACTGTCCGTTTGTCTGTAAGTGTAGTCCCCTGCAGTCAGCTTTTCTCTTACTTCATTCATTTCTGAAACATCAATACGGGACAGTAAAAACTTCGACAGTGTACTCCAACATCATCATCCGTGAACCTTGGTCCATTTTGTTGGAGAATTTAAGACCCAAAAAGCCATTGAACAGTTTTCCAGCTGTAATTCTAGAAGATGTTGGGTACACCGTAGAACCATCCCTCTGACAGTGCTTTCACATTCAGCTCATTTTTCAGAACTTTTGACAAAGTTTTATTAGCACTGCATGTACACAGTTACCGTAGCAAACTGAGAAACGTGCTCAAATTCTTCGTGAATTATTAGTAGAAGCTTTACTGTAGTGAAACCTGGCAAGTTACTTTGTAAACTAACAAAAACATGCCCCTTGTCACAGTGTGTACATGAACACACTATACAGTATGACAGTGTAAGCATTTGCAGTATCCATCAGTATTATGTCTGACATGAGGTGAGTGTGAACTGCCTCATGAATGTCTGGATTAATCCTGTGTACTCCATAGCTGCTCCCTCCACCTGAGCGAAAGCCCGTTCAGGGGGATCTAACCTGAGGCACGCTCGCTCCGCAGCCAGACTCCACTTTACACTGTATACATGAGGCCAGGCAGCGCTGAGGACCTGGCACCAGCAGCCCGGTCTGATCACACGGGCCCGGAGCAGTCGGGGAGAGCTGCCAGCGTGTGATGCGGGCCCACACACTGCAGGCCTCCACACTCACCGCTCTATCTGACAACTCTGACACAACTCTACGGCAGCAGCACATACCTGATTTGAAAAGCAAGCATCTGGATGTAGACGCGAACTTCAGCCGAAACATGTTTTTTTAAAAAGTCAGAAAGGTTGGATGGTATTTTAATGGTTTTTACTTGCTGTGGCTTCAGACATGCTGCCCTATTATTACTGCAGTCATGTGGCAACTCACCCACTTTGCCTAGCAGAGATCCACCAATGTTTTTCTTCACGACTGATACAATTTCATTCAGTGTCCTTAGCGTCTCATGACCGGTACACTCAGTTTGTTTTTTGCGATTATTTCCCAATGTTCTGATCTAATTCTGACATATGGAAAAGTAATAACTACACCAGTACCAAAGCAAAAGAAAAATTTAATTCTGTCAACTGGACAAAAGCTTTTGATTGAAGACGTTTCGTAGCTCATCCAAGCAGCTTCTACGGTTCTGAAGTTTGTCCAGTTGACAGAATTCAATTTTTCTTTTGCTATGGATCCTTCTCAAACAACTGAGGGATTACACAGATATTACCAATAAGTTTTCATCTCCAGCATAGCACAGTTTCTCTATGAGCACTAACAAAGCAGTGTACCACAGTTGCAGCGCCCCCTTTGGATGGTCTTGTAGAATAAATTGTAGTAGCCCAAGAGTTGAAGAGAAAAGGTATAACTCTGGAGTTCTAACGTAGAAGTTTATTTACATCACAGCTCAAGACATGATGATGGCAGGTATGAAAACCTTTTGGCGAAATTACGCGAATCGTGTAGATTCTATGAGAACAGTTTTGGGGGGGAGTGGCTTGGTAAATGTGCAGTGGATGGTAAATATCTCAAAACCAGTAAGAGAATGTAACTCCATTTAGGAATGTGAAAAACCAGGTTTAAAAATCCTACCCACTTGATTCACTTTGAAGCAGTTTTGTCTAAGTGCCAGTGGAAGTTCTCTTCAAGAGACAGGGTTCTCAAACTGCGGGTGAGGGTCCAAAAAAGGGGTGCAGAGTGTTTAAGAACAGTACAGTTTTACAGGCTTTTTATGCCTAAATTAACATTAATCAGATAAATTGGAGATATTGATATATATATATTTGCCAAAATAGCTGTAAAATACAAATAAATGTATAAAATGTCAAAGATGGTCTTGATTTGGTCTCGATGGGCTGTGGTCTCAGTCTTGTCTTAGTTTCAGGACCCTGTGGTCTCGGATGGACTGGCCTTGGTCTCGATTAGTGCAGTCTTGACTACAACACTAGTGCATATACTGGTGAATCACCATCCATTTAGACAGGGCCTGGTCTTATTAACCCCGAATAGATGCCCCAGTGCACCCAGTCTGCAAAAAAACAAAAACAAAATCCTCTCTCATCTTTTTCACCTTTTTTTTTTTTTTTTAACCTCTGACCCATTTTCATGCCTGTGATAGTCTTGTCCATTCAGTCTAGTGCAGTCCAGTCTGGCTCTGCTTCTGTTGTAAGGAGTATTATACCTCTGATGGTGTAGCCCAAGATAACAAGGACTAAGCTGGCAGTGCACTTCTATTAACTGTCTGACAAACTGTAGAAAATTTTGCTCAAACA